GGGAAAAATGATTTATTCAGGGTACCAGAATTCTGATTTCTGATGCAACTTCACAGAACTTGAGTATTAGTAACTAGTTTCTTGTTGTTTTTGTGCAATTTTGCTGATATTCTCTATGTTCTGAAAAGCTTCTTTTCCTCTTATTTTCCTAGGAATCTAAGCAACAACAGAATAACTACCCTAGAAGCAGGCTGTCTTGATAACTTATCTAACTCTCTAGTGGTGGTAAAACTAAACAGAAATAGAATTAGTGTGATTCCACCAAAGATCTTCAAATTACCTCATGTGCAGTTTCTGTAAGTAGCCTTTTTGGAAGCTTAAAAAGATAACCTTTGCAGGGATATTACCTCGCTATGTGTTCTTGATAGTCACAGTGTTATCAAAAGATGTCTTAATATTTGATTGTCATCTTTATATTATATAAGGGAACTGAAAAGGAACCGTATTAAAATAGTGGAAAGTCTTACATTCCAAGGCCTGGAATCCTTAAAATCATTAAAAATGCAACGCAATGGGATTAGCAGACTGATGGATGGAGCATTCTTTGGCCTGAATAATATAGAAGAACTGTAAGTATGCCTAGTCATGGAATTTCTTTTAGGAACTCCAGCTATGGAGACCATTTGCTGTGTGGCTTCTCTAACATCTAGGCTTTTCTTAAATATTGATGAGGAAATGAGTTTACCGATCTGTATTTTCCCATTAGTTTGATTTCATGTTGTTTGGAAACTTTAGATGCAGAGAGGTGCAGGTTCTCTCTCTGACTACTTTCCCCTTGATCAGGAATGCTTTGCTTGAGTCTTTAGTAGTTTCGTGAAGATATTGTCAGTTTTCTGATTTTGTGTGCTTGATTGAACTGCTTTTGTACTGCATCGGTTGGAGAACTGTAAAGGAGCATTCTAAACTCTGCTTTTGGCTTTGGAAGAAAGCGTTTGCACTCACCATGACGTGGGACCATTCTTCACACAACTCTGACGAAGCATAGGCATGTGCCGTGCACTCTTGGCAAAATATGGTTTTTGTTAATAAATAATCTTTGAGAACTGGAATGTTAACATTTGAGAATAAATGGCCATGATTTCAGTTCTGCCACTGGATCAGTGTAGCCATGGCTGTGTTGCTTTCTTTTTGTACGCTTTTGGTCATTTTTTTGGGTCCTGTGAAGTCAATAGAATCGTGCATTTCAGATTCTGTAGGATTTAATGTTAGTAAATCATCTCGAGATCGACAAGGTGAAATGCCGTAAATGTGTGTTTCATTGATTGCCTATTTGGCGAATGTTTTTCCTTCCAATTCCTTAGAGAACTGGAACATAATAACTTAACAGAAGTAAACAAGGGCTGGCTGTATGGTCTACGAACATTGCAACAGCTCTACATTAGCCAAAATGCCATTAACAGGATCAGCCCAGATGCATGGGAGTTCTGCCAAAGACTTTCAGAACTGTAAGTCCTGGGTCGAATTTCAGTGGGGATTTTGTAACGCTACAAATAACAGATTAGAGAGCGCATATATAGGAGGGGTGAATTACTGAAGAAAGTGCTCAGTTAACTTGTCAAGTCTATGGTAACGCTGTCTGTTTTACTTTTTTTTTTTTAAAGCAAGTCTTCTGTTATAGATTAATTAAGACTTCCTGTTTGATAGTGTCTTTGTAGTTAATCCCCCTTGCTCGCCTTTAAAGCATTTGCTCAATTTTTATAGAGACTTGTCCTACAACCAGCTAACTCGCCTCAAGGAGTCTGCCTTTGTGGGGCTTGGTTTATTGGAGAAGCTAAACCTGGGTGACAACCGAGTTAGTCACATTGCTGATGGTGTGTTCAGAGGGCTGACAAACCTTCGAACCTTGTAAGTACAGAAAACTTCTATTTAAAATCTCACTTGGTTCAATGCAATGAAGTTTTTGGTAGTTAAAACAATGAATATTTAAGATTGGTGTTTTGGCACTTGCTGTATTGCTGTCCTGCCTTCAGTTGTGGCAGAGCCGATTATTTTTGGTATACAGACATGATAGAATCCTGGTGTAGTTGAAACAAACCAATCTCATATTTTTAATGCTGATTTAAAACAGTGCCTTGATGACCTTGAGTGTCCAGCTGCATGTCAGACCAGTTCTGAGAAGGTAGGGATTGACAGCTTGTCTGAATGCAATGGGACGAGTTTTCAGTACAGACCTGACTTCCTCCCTAATGGTTGTATTAGGGTTGGAACCTACGAAGCCAAACTGAATCCTGCAGATTGGATAGTGCTGCTTTGCATGCTGAAGTCACAGGCACAGCATGGAGCAAAGGTGCAGGAGGACCTCTTTCTATCAGAGGGTCAGCTTTGCGTTTGCCAAGACCTTTGCTAGCAGCTGTACCCTGTTCAATATTTTTGACAAGAAAAGAGTCTATCTCTTTTTTTTTTTTTTTTTTTTTTTTTTAAATGGTGTCAAGCAGATCTAAACACTTTTAATCATCCTAAACCATGGTAGTTGAGAAAGGAGTGAAAGTTTATAACTCCTCTATCAGTTCATTAAATAAATGCTTAAATAAGCAAACTCATCAGAGAGACTTATGTAAGCAGTCATATTCTGTTAACCTTAATGCAACCTTTTAATGAAATAATTAAGACTAATTTCTTAGATTTAGAGCAGCATGAAAAAGGACAAGAGCAGATTAATTGGTAGGTTTTGCTGGGCTCTTCAGGGGCATCAGACAGCTGAGAGCCTGGCCATCCGCGTCGGAGTGGGAATGTGCGGGACCCAGGGCAGTGGTGATTACCAGGGCTCCAGGCATTGGAGCGCAGCTGAGCGTGAGGAGCTCCTTGTCTCGCACAATGAGGGGCTTTTCTTTCGGGCTGCTCACGCTTTTTGTTAAGTGGTCTGAATAGTGTGAGCAGATAAGTGCTTCAGACACCAGGATACTTTGTGTAGCTGTCAGATTACTTCCATTGTTGTCTCTACTACAGTTCTGGTTGTTTCAGTATTAAGGCATCTCACATAATTGTTTGGCTCTCTTCAGTTCTTGCCACAGTTCTGCAAAGTAGCTTTAAAGCAGGATTAGAGCAAACTGCTGTGGAAACTGCATATAAGTTACAAGCTAGTCAGAGCAAAGTGGGATTAAAGGTGTAGCCAAGAACAGCACTGGAACTTTGAAGTTTAAAATCTTATCACCATGTTTACTTCATGTGTGGTTTTTCTGTATACTTGTGATTAGCTCGGCATTGATACCACTCCAGTATTCCTAATACAAAATTCTGGAGAGAACTGTAGAAACTAATTTCTAGTCCAGAGTTTTAGCAGTCTGGAAGTAAATTTGGCATATTACTCACATGATTACTCTTCATATTAGATCACATCCATGATGAGTATCTTCTCATTGAAACATTATTCAAGTTGAAAAAACTTAGTGCGAATAAATGTAAAGACTGTGTTGACTAAATTCATGTAGATGACATACAAATAATGGAAATACGGGCACTTTTTTCCTTATTTGTCCTAAATTTTAAAGTACATATCTTAATTGTGGAAGTAATTGCTGCGGGGCATTAAGAACTTTTGTATTTCAGAGTAAGAAAAACAAGAAAAAGATGCGTTACCACTGGGGGCATCCTGGAGGTTGATTTCTGATCTCTTCCAGGATGGGAATCTACAGAATTTTCATCATTAGCACAAGTTTAAAAAGGGTTTGTGAGAGATACCTACAACTGTCTGTATGTGTAGGTAGCTTTCTGTGGCAGTTGACTTGTTTGGAAGCCCTATCAAGCTGATAAACATAGTATCTACTAAAATGCAGTATGTCTTTATTTTTCATTGGTGTATCTTCCTCTAAACACACTGATGTTTGCAAATACTGCCATGTGTGATGGTAGTAAGACTAAAAACTCTTTACTCAATTCATACATTTTAGGCTGAAAATGCTGCTGCGTTTGAGAGATCTCACCATATCTCAAAAACAAAACAAAGAATTTAATCCTTTCCAAACCATATTGCTATGTTGCTTTTGCTGTTTAGTCTACTGTTCTATGCGAGGGGCAGAAGTGCTGTACAGAGGTCAAACAGAAATCCCATTAGCTGGTAATGAGATTTGTGAGCAGAATAACAACTTCATTCTGAAAATCTACTGCTCTGTGCCTGGCAGCCTTACACTATAACCTGTGTGTAATCTCTTGATATGCTAATGTTACAGGCCTGTTACTCAGGAAGATTAGTGCTGCTAGTATGTTGGTTAATTCACTTACATGAACCAGCTTGTTCCAGGAGTCTCTCCCAGCTTCTGGTAAATAGTCTATCACATGACAGTTGCTAGTCAGACTGGGTCTTTCCTTAAATACCACATCAAGACATTGTACTTCAGGGTTTGTTTGTGGTTCTGTCTGAAGCACGGATTTTGAAAGTTCCGTTTTTCCTTGCCTTCCTAAAATGGAATATTAATCTTCTGACAAGCTTGGCTATATAAAAGCTTGAGGCAGATCACCATACTAGGCACAAGGAACAGTAAATTCCCTTCCCTGTTAGCACTGGTCCTGATGATTTTCCAGAGCTTTTAAGAAAGCTCTTCTACTTCTACAGGGATTTGCGGAACAATGAGATCTCCTGGGCCATAGAAGATGCAACCGAAGCCTTCACAGGACTCGACAGACTTGATAAACTGTACGTATTGCAAATCACTGAAGTGACAGTATTTCCTAGGCAAGCAGAATTAGAGGGAAAGTGAGTTGTCACATTCGGTGTGTTACCCCTTCTGTGCTAGGTGATCCTAGGGGACCCATTTCTAACCTAAATCCATAAAGAAGGGAAAAGGAAACATGTTCTTATGAGCATTCTTTGAGCCCATAAACTCAGAAAATAGTATTTGATTTTTTTAGCTCAGTTATAATTAGAAAAGTTATTGAGTTTATTTTTGAGCTCATATTGACATCCAGTTTCTTTTCTGGGCTTGGGGGAATTGTCTTTCAGAATCTTGCAAGGAAACCAGATTAAGTCAATTACAAAGAAAGCATTCTCTGGTCTTGAAGGACTTGAACATTTGTAAGTACTTTCTTCCATTGGGCTTCTAGTTATTTACTTCAGTTTTGTATTTTTTCTCAGACTTAAAAGAATCTGCCTGGTGGTGGTAGATGAAATCAAGTTACTCCATTGTGTTTCTCTTTGCTTAACTTGCAGGGATTTAAGCAACAATGCAGTAATGTCCATCCAAGAAAATGCATTTGCCCAGGCCCATCTGAAGGAGCTGTAAGTTCAGTTGGTTCTACTTTGTGCCTTATAAGATTGGCTCCAGTTCACTAAAGTGCATTCTTTTTTCATTATGAAATATTTAAAGCTATGCTAACAAACTAGTGAATAAAAGTGACAACATATTTTTCGATCTAAGGATTACTAAAATTTGCACCTTAATTTGCTAATTATGGTTAATAGAAAATACATTTTCTTGACGGGTTAAAACATAGGTTTTTCACATCTTAAATTTTTACATTGAGGGTATTTCAAGAAATCACCTGGACTCTAATACTGGGTTTTCAAAGCACCTCTACAATCAATAAAGTTAATGCTTTGCCTTCTGTTTTTGGGCTAGGGAAAAACCTTATGAATTTCCTGTCTGGACAAGATTTTTTACTAGCTCAACAGATACTTAAGCTGCTAGAGCCTCTTGTGATCTTCAGGCATACAAAGTATTACAGTGTGTGGTCACCTTTGTACCCAAGACTAATCTGAGAGTAACGCAGCCCTTTCTATGAGATAAGACATCATGTAATCTGTTTTAAAACAGTTATCCAATTTGTTATCTCTGCCAGAGATTAGTTATCTCTGCCAGTGTGAGGAAGGCTATGAGATGCATTTTGGGTGCTAAAGACAAAAGACTTTCATTGCCTTCTCTCGTGTATATTAGAAATGAGTCACTAGTAGTTTGTATGGGCAGGTGGCAGGCTGCCATCTTGGCTTCTCTATGTGCCCCTCTCTTCTCTCACTCCCCATCTACCGGATTCACTTAAGCACCAGATCACTCCTCCCTGCTAAAATACCAGGCTTGCTCTCCGGTCCGTAGAGGCTGTGTGTAACATGTAGGATATTGCGAAGGCCTGTGCTGAGGAAAAAGTGATCCATACATGCTTCCCATTTTCCCTTCTTATTGTTTTTTATGGAGCAGAAAAGAAAATAATCTGTAGTAGTACCTGTGTGAAACAACTCATTTTCATTCTTAAATACTTATTAGCTGGCATGAAAGTGAGTTTTGAGGCTTACAGCCGCAGAGTAATGGCAAATACGGAATATGAGAGATGAAATCGTACTACAGCGTTAGGTGTTTTCTTTAACTGCTTTAAAGAGGAATGAGGTAATTGTAAAGATGTTCTTAGTACCTTGTTTCAAAGTTAAAAAATACAGTGTTATTTTCCTCAGACATCTGGGTGAAAAGAATTTTTAGTGCTGATACAGAATTGGTTTCCCTGGACCCTTTATAGCATATATAACTAACATCGTGTGATAAAGACCTATAGGCATAGAGGAATACTGTAAGCTGTAATTTCTGAAAATGTCTGTTTTTAATGTCTTCTCTGGTGGATGAGATCACATGTAGCAGTGTGAAATAAACTTTAATCACTCTCTTGCCTTGTTTGTGTAGGATTCTGAACACTAGCAGCCTGCTCTGTGATTGCCAGCTGAAATGGCTGCCCCAGTGGCTCGCTGAAAGCCGCTTGCAGCAGGCTGTAAACGTTAGCTGTGCTCACCCTGAATGGTTGGCCGGACAGAGCCTTCTCAGTGTGAACCCTGATGACTTTGTCTGTGGTTTGTATTTCTAATCATTTTTGTTATAAAGACATAGGAACACAAATCTCTGCAGATAACTTTCTGAAACCAACCTGTAGCACTGCTGGATGTACTTGGTTTTGGCCATAGTGCGTGTGTGGCTGTGTACATTTACGGGGTTAGGTTTAATTCAGTTCGTTTCCTTCTGGTTTTGCTGCACTAAAACTAAACTGAGGGAGCAATCCTGTGAGAATGCATTTTTTTTTTCCACCTAGGTTACTGTTAAAGCTGATTATGTTTCCATTCTTACTGTTTCTGAAGGCCTTTTGCTTTATTAAAGCTATTTGGCACTTCCTTACTGGTGCTGTCTGTGCCCAGCAAGGCTAGGACAGTTGGTACTCTGGCGTGTTTCTAATGCTCTGTATCTGCAGTGTTTAAAGTCTTATCTTGAGAATATGTAAACTATCTGAAAAACACCACTTTGTAAAAGCCTGCCTTCATAAAGTAATGCTGGCTCTTTGTCCAGAAGTGGCCTGTGTGTATAGTGTAAATGTAGCAACTTCCAGACAGCTGTAGAAAATGAGGAACTGCTCAAGACCATGCTTTTATGTGGACTGTTCTCAATGTTTATTCTGTACTCCTGCCTGTGGTTCTAATCATCTTTCACAGCTTGATTTCCAACAGAAAATAGCTGAATGTATGCACCCCAAGCAGGATATTTGTTCCCACAGCTTGTGTTCTACTTACTGGCTTTTACAGTCCCTTCTTGGGAAACTAACTGTATGTTGAAAAGTAAAGTAGCTAATCTTGATGCCTTTTGTTTTCAGATAACTTCCCTAAACCTCAGATAAGAGTACATCCTGAGAACACGATTGCTCTACGAGGCATGAACATAACCCTGACGTGCACTGCTGTGAGCAGCAGTGATTCCCCCATGTCCACTGCCTGGCGTAAAGACAGTGAAGTGTTGCATGACGCAGAGGTGGAGAATTTTGCCAGGTATCAGCAGCAAAGTGAGGAGGTGGTTGAGTATACCACTGTCCTGCATCTCTTCAGTGTGAATTTCACTGATGAAGGAAAATATCAGTGTATCGTCACCAACTACTTTGGCTCCAATTATTCTAATAAAGCTAAACTGACAGTTAATGGTAAGCAATAATGGAAACAAAGAAGCAACACACTTAACCTAAATCTTTATTTAAATAGCTACATATCTGTTTTTCACTTTGTTTTATAAAATCTATTCAGATTTCTTAGTTCCCAACTGGTCCAAACCATGCTCTTGAACGAATGTGCATCGCTGCTATTTAAAAGTATCAGACAAGTTTATACGTGATTTTTGGGTGGGGGATTTGGCAGAGGGGGGGGTGAAAATCTTTCTTTACTTTGGAAAGGGGTGAATATCTCCCATACTTTCATTATAACTCAAGTAGTTTTTTATCTATTTGAGTGGAGTCGTAAGTCTTTTAAACTAAAAGCTCCCTCTGCTGTCTCACCAGAAGGAGGCACTTTCCCTGCATCCTTGCAGAGCTAGGGAAGACCTGACTTAGAAACAATTATGGAATGGGAAGCAAATTCAAAAGAATCGAGTATGAGATGCTTGGTCTTTAGCCAGTAATGAAGAATTTGCATTATTCGGACTTTAGAGCAGGGAGATGAGAAGACAGCGTTTACATTGGTTGATAGATTACTGAACCACTGACCCTCCCCATTGTATCTGAGGACAGAAGGTGCCTGTGTTGCTTTTGCTTTTCAAGAACACATGCATGCTTTTGCCTGTAGAGATGAAAGTTCACCTTCTGTTTTATAGGGCAAGAAAAAGTGTGATGAAGAACTTAATCTTAAGTTACCCCTCTCTTCTCACCATGAGACAGTTTGTCCATTAGGTAGTTCTAAAGGAATTCTGTAGGTATATTTCAGTTTGGAGGCTAGGCTATTAGAAATGACCACTGAGAACTTGTGCAGCTCTCTGGAAGTATCTGCCTTGGCCAGAAAGAGCTACAGGTGTGTATCTCACCAGCTTGCCTGCAGACATCTTCTGTATCAGGGAGCTTTTCTTGCTTTCTCCCCAGTACTGAAACAACACTAATACCGTAATGTCTGCTTGGATCCAGAGCTGCCTTCCTTCCTGAAAATCCCCATGGATCTCACTATCCGCACCGGGGCCATGGCCCGGCTGGAGTGCGCCGCAGAGGGCCACCCCACTCCCCAGATCTCCTGGCAGAAGGACGGTGGCACAGACTTCCCTGCTGCAAGGGAGAGGAGGATGCACGTCATGCCTGAGGATGATGTGTTCTTCATCGCAAACGTGAAAATGGAAGACATGGGAATCTATAGCTGTATGGCACAAAACACTGCAGGGGGGTTGTCAGCAAATGCCACGCTGACTGTGCTAGGTAAGTAGCACGTTTATCTTTGTTTTAATGGATCATTGCACTTCTGCAGTGGTAGTGGAGCTTCTCTGTAAGCAGCAGGCTTAAGTCCTGAAGAATGAAATGAAAATACAAAGAGCGTAGTGTCCTCTTCCCTGGCTGTAGATATTCAGCATTAAGGAACCAAAAAAAGGTTGTTTTTTTTTCTTCCAGGGCTTCTTCCCTCTAACTTTAAAGGAATAAAGGATGTCAGGTGTTCTCTGGAGCAGCAAAGCAGCAGCTGCTTTGCATGGTTTGGGGGGATTTGAAGGCCACACTTCACAAGATTTTTTAAACAGTGACAGTTGTTTACATGCCGTGGAGTGCACAGTGTTGCTGCACTACAGTGTCACCTTACAACTGTTTTTTTTCTTCCCCACTGTCAGAAACTCCCTCCTTCGTCAGGCCCCTGGAAGACAGGACGGTGAGCAGGGGTGAAACCGCTGTCCTGCAGTGCATCGCTGGTGGCAATCCTGCCCCGCGCCTCAACTGGACCAAGGACGACGGCCCCTTGACGGTGACAGAGCGGCACTTCTTCGCTGCTGCTAATCAGCTCCTTATCATCGTGGATGCCGGGCTGGAGGATGCCGGGAAGTACACGTGCATCATGTCCAACACCTTGGGCACTGAGCGGGGCCATATTTACCTAAACGTCTTGGCCTCCCCCAATTGTGATTCTGCCCAGGGTGGCATCATCCATGAGGAAGACGGCTGGACAACAGTTGGCATCGTCATCATCGTTGTGGTGTGCTGTGTCGTGGGAACTTCCCTCGTGTGGGTTATTGTGATCTACCACATGAGAAGGAAGAGTGAAGATTACAGCATCACTAACACAGGTAAGCTTCAACAGTACTGCTTAGTTAGTGCACTTTCTTAAAACTCAAAACAGTTGTTACAATGGTGAAATTTCTGGATTCCTTGAAACTGCCAAACATTTGGGGGCAGTGATATTTTTCCTTCTCAAATATCTTCAGGGATTTGCTCTGATTTCTTTATTTCTTAGGGGGAAAAGGCAAGTTTAGAGACTTTACATATTAATTGTGTATTTACTCCTTACACACTTATCTTACACTAAGGGAAACGAGACGTGCTTGGGAATAAGTATTTGAATTAAGTTTAAAATGTCTAAAGGACCTGGAATAAAGTGCATAAATGTCTGCTCTGGCACTGTTAGTTTTGAGCCAGCTATATAGATTTTTAATCTCTGAGGCGACAAAAAGGCAGGAGTGTGCGAATAGAGTTCTTATATTGCACTCGTGTTAATGCAGGTGATGCTTGGTGTTGCCTTGGGATCTCCACGCTTATTTGTTAATGTCACCATGTTAATTCTGCTTTGCAGAGGAGATGAACCTACCTGCAGACATTCCCAGTTATTTATCCTCCCAAGGAACGCTGTCGGAGCCTCAGGAAGGCTACAGTAACTCGGAGGCAGGAAGCCATCAGCAGCTCATGCCTCCAGCTGGTGGCTACGTGCACAAAGGCACAGATGGTAAGCGCAGCTCTCACGTGCTGGCGCCCGGGTGGCAGGGTGCCAGTGCGTCCCCTCCTCCTCATAGCTGGCAGCAGTGCTGCACAATGCAGAACAGTACTGCGTATTAACATCAAAGGTGACTTCTTCTAGAAAAACAACAACTTGTTTCTGAGATTTCCATTCGTTGCTGTGGGCTTAAAAGGCATCTCTTGATTTTCTTTGTGTTTGTTTATATTCTTAAGGCTTTTGCCTTCTGTGCACACAATTTAATCTTTGGTCCAGCAGCATCTGGGTTCACATTTGCTTTGAGTGCCTTTGAATATAGATGTTGTGACTGCAGCTCTTTGTGTCCCAAATAGCACAGATCCCTCTAGAGATCCTTCACTGCAGGACGTGTGATCTGGTCAGCAAGGCAGTGGTGGTGGTAGAGAATTCCTAGATTAGGTGTCAAGGTAGATTTTTTTTTTTTTATGCTGCTGCTTTAGCATTTCAAAAGTTTCTGGAACAGAGGTGGAAGGAACACTCACTTGGGAGATGATTTGCTTAATCTTTTGCTTGTAAGATAAAATTACTTCCTCAACCAGACATCCAGTCTGCCTGTTACAATGATAACCAAAGGGTTATACTATTTCTCTACCTTGTTTAGAGACTTATTTTCATAGTATTTTTAGCATTGAGTCTATAGAGATTTTAGTATTTTTAGAATTGAGTCTACAGTGGTTTCTTGGGCTTTTTTTTTCCACTGAAATGCTGAGGAGCCATCTGATCCTTAGCTGGCTTTGAAAAGCGATCCTTCAGTATATTTTTCTCTTGTATCCCATGATCCACTCCCTGCAGTCTGGAGTTCTACCACCAAAAGTCTATCAGCAAAAGGACTGAGGGACAGCTCATTTCATGACTGAATTGTTACCAGTTCAATCGTGATCGTCTGAGACATGTGGGATTGCAGGAGGCAAGTGCAGCTGTTCCTGCCTTATCTGGTGCAGGGTGAATTCCAGGCTGCTTTCAGCCTCATGCCTGAGCTAGCTGGACCTGCTGGAACTGTAAACCTGTGGAAAGGAAGTGTCCTCCCTCGCTTTGAGAGAATATCTATTTTGGGGCTTTTAAAAAAAAAAAAAAAATTGTGTGTGTGTGTGTTTCAGGTGGCACAGCACCATTGGTGATCTGCTCAGACTGCTATGACAACGCAAACATCTACTCCAGGACTCGGGAATACTGTCCTTATGCCTACATCACAGAAGAGGACCCCCTTGATCAAACGCTCTCTAATCTCATGGGGCAGATGCCCAAGGACACGTACCCAGCACGCCCCCAGCACGACACCGGTGCTCTCGATAAGCTCATGGCAGACAGAGACGTGTCTGTCTTCCTCACCAACCACGACAGAATAAGTGAGAGAAAGATCTCTTTGCAGCAGATGAGTGGTGAGTGGGTCCTGTTTCTTTTCTCGTTTCTATTATGCAATAGCTCTGGCCTTCCTGGTCATGCCATTCTGTATTGGTGCTCAGTTGATTTGTCAAGCTGCCCTAGTGTGAGGAATAAACTCATCTACTTAATTTAACCACCTGTTTGCAGAGCCAGCCCTCCTGCAGTCTGCATCCAGTACTCCCAGACTTGAGGAAAGTGATAGCACTTCTTAATCAGCAGCTTGTCTCTTAAAGCTTGTGAAATACCATCTCTTGCATGTACTTCAAGGCCATCCTTTGCCAAGATTTAAAGCTGCTCATAGGAAATCCAAATAGCACTTTTGTGTTGGAGCTGGGCTGAGTTTCAAAGAGCTCCAAAAGATTTATTCGTTTATATCATAAACTCGATGTTTTTATGCTGACTTTCTTCCAGGTAGCCTTTTTTTTTTTTTAAAAAAAAAAAAAAAAAACACTGAAACTAAGTATATTGTTTCTGGTTACTGTAGCAGATTGCTGAAATGGGAGGATATCCAGTAAAGTGTGTTCTCAAAAACAGAAAACATCATAGACGGTTATTGCTAAGCCACGTGACTCAAATCTGCCTATAATTTGGGTGTATTTGTCATGGATTTCTGCTCATCTTTCAAATTTTCTTCCACAGAACCTTTTCAGGTTCCTTTATGGGGAGTGAACAAGGACCTGGGGCTGTCTCATTCACACTTTCTGCACCAGCAGTCGGCCCGTGAGCCCCCACGGCCTCTTCGGAGCGAAGGCATTAGTGACAGTGGCCGGGAACAAGCTGCTTCACCCAGACCTTGCCACAGGTTACGTGAACATAACTTTGATTTTAATAGGACACGGAACGTTCAGGACCATAGTGAAACCACATAAGGCACTAAAATGAAGTCTTGGAAGCAAATCCCTATCAACTGACTTTTTGTATTTACTACCTCAGGACTAACCCCAAGGCCAAAGATGCTTTCGTACACGTGTCTACAATTACAGGCTGACTAGACCAAGACAGACTCCCTAGAAGGAGGTGGTCCATGCCCTTTTTCCTCGGATTCATGTGCATTGGAAAATGGGAATGTGCAACAGTGCACATAATAGTGATATCCACAACGATGGCTTAAAACATGATTTTTCTGATGTTGGAAAGAGCCTTTGTGTTAGTGCATGCTTTGAAAATCTCTCAAGAATGCATAGCTATTTCACGCTGCATTGTCTGCTTGAAAACAAATGTTCAGGGCCTCCTCATGGAATTCCCCAGTAATTGTGAGCATAAGACTCCTGGCCAGCTTTTTGTTCTTTAGGCTGTTGGCAGGAGTCTGTTATCAGTTTAACTTTGGGTTGTTTTCTGCTATGCATAATGGACTCTAGTTGTAAATAAATTTGCCTTTATAAATATTTTGTATACACTAAGCATATAAATGTGTTGGCTGTAATGTAAATATGTTTTTTATTATGCCAAAGTATGTATCATACTGTTAGTCTCAACAGCTGCATATCAAGCCATAGTTTTTGGTGGAGGTTAAGGGTTTGAGAGCTGGGTTCTGAGAGGATAGCCGTTTGGTGTTTTTCTTTTTTTGATTTTTTTTTTTTCACTTTGGAAAGAAGTGGACATGCTATAGGTATATGGTGAAACTGTGATATTAATGAATTTCGTTGTTATATGCAATTCTGTAAGCATTAAGCATGGCTGACCTGACTGCAAGCTGATCCATTTCATTACCTTAGCAGAATTTCAAGTCTGGCCATTATGTGTTGAGAGAATTCTTAAATCTCTCTATTAGGCACCATCTTTTCCAATAAAGTATAATGCCCAACAGATCCTGCCTTAGGCTGGGCTGTAGTACCCCCTGGGGACTCCCAGGGGTTATTGTAAATAGTGAACACAGGATTAGTGCACAAAATGATGTCTCTGCTCAGCTGTTAAAATATCTACGAGATGGCAGTGTAAATTCTGAGCTGCTCATGGTTCAAAAGTTATCTAAGCTTTTATCTTGTAAAAGCTTTCATATTGTGTATATAGAGTGTGTACTCTGCATTGCAGAGAGGTCTCTATTTTTCATAGTTGACAGTTTATCAGCGAGCTGAAAAGAATGTCATGATGAAAAGCATTGGGTAACTTGGAGGAGTGTTTGATCAATAGTCGGTACACTTCACTATATGGATTTTTCTGTTTTTTCTACAGAGCCAAGAGGAAAAGGTAGTTGTTAAAACTTATGCTTTTTTTCTGTCATAATGTATTAGGAAAATTCTTACCCTGTTGACCTCTGTAATAGTTCCCTGGACCTCAGAGTGGCCAAAATGTTAAAAAATATTTGACAGGTGAGAAATGAAATCACACAGGGCAAGGATGCTCTGTACTGAAAATCTAGTACCAGCTGAGACACAGTAACACACACAGCAGCTTCACTACCAATAGTGGGGGGTGCCTGACAGAACAAGGAGGAAGAACATTATGGAACTTGCTGACAGGTCCCTGCCTCTGGAAAAATGTCCCTATGCAGACAGTGTTAATGGTTTGATCAGTGCTGGCTCTTCAGCAAGTGTGTTAGAGCTATGTGCTTTCAAGGTTATACTGTATCTTTCCAAATACTCACTCCTGAAGAACAAGGGTTTTTTTCCTAGTCATTCTTGTATACCTGTCACCTCCTCACACCTCAGAATATGTACTCTGTCCTGCTGCATTGTATATTTTTGTAAAGACAGGATAAGGATTTGAATCAGCCCCAAAGAACTGTCCAGGACTTCCTTTTAGCCCATTCCTACATGGGAAGGGCAGTGACTGCAGAATTACAGCTGAAGTTTTTGAGTCTGTGGAGTAGTTGAGTGAGGAAAAAGGTGGTGATAATAATTTTCACTTACTTGGTCATGGATGATAATCAGATCCAGACAAACGAGCAAGGGATTTTGCTGTGCTCTCAAAGCAGCCATCAGATAGCCAGCAGCTTTAGAAGAAAGAGGATTCAGAATTGTCCTTGACCTTTGGATAAAGTGAAGAGAAATGTAGGTGTGTGAAACTCTTTGGCCTTGACATCTGAAATACTTTCAGGTGTTGTATGTAACGTACATGCTAAAAGAAGAATCTTAAGTTCTTTTCTGTATTTATTTCCTCCAGGCCTTTTTTTTTTTCTTTTTTTTTTTAATTCCAGGCAGCATCAAAGACATGGTATTTATTTTCACGAACTTATCTCTGTTGTTGGAACCTGCCACTGTCAGAGTTTATATTTGGGTGAGAAATGTCAGGTTATGAAACAGCAGCAGAAAAAATCTCTTCCTTCTGGGCTGCTCGCTGCTTTGTTCAAATATTCATATAGGGTAACGTGGCAGAGCTGCTCTTTGGCATGTGCAGAGCCACGATTTCCTGCTAGCAGAAGAGTAGCACTTACCCTGCTGCTGCTCCCTTCACCATTTTTTTCTTCCTTCTCTCTCTTTTGTGGAGTAGAGCTGACGTGGATTTCCCAAGTGTCAGAAGATTCCATTGATGTGGAAGTACATGGGGACATCCAGACCTTTTGTGTGCTTCAGGCAACTTCTAGTATGATCGGATTCACATTAGGTAGGTAAGATGTGCTTGGCCAGGACCAAACTTTGAAATTAATGCTGTCTGCACCAGGGCAAACAGAAGCCAGGGGTACTCAGGAACTGTAGTTGCACTTTTTCCATGAGATTCTGGCCTCTAAAAGCAGCCCTTAGGAATTAGGATATTTGCATCCTTACATAAGCAACGGAGTTTCTTTAAAGTCTGGAAGCTTGTTGTAAATAGTTGAAAGCTTGTAAGTGGGTGAACAGCTTGCTGCACTTAATTAACATTGTGGAAAAGCTTCCTAGGCAAACTTGGAGGAAAAAAAAAATCTTCTTTCTCCCAAGAGATGCAAATAGCAGAGTGGCCATTCTGTTTTCAGTGAATATGGGCAGTTTCTTCAATCCATGCCAAAGTAATAGCAGTACAAAAATTGGGGGTTCCTAAGACGGTCTGAGCAAAGCTGTCCTTGTTCCCTGTTGCCATTTCCTAGTGTCTATTTATATTTTTTTCACATAAGAATGTATATTTTGTATAGCATGTGTAACATATGTTCGTCTATTGTAATATACCTTCATTCAATAAAATGCTGTATACATTGAACATCTGGTGCAACTTTGTTAGCTTACAGGTTAAGATTTCTATTTTTCATAGGAGAAAAGTGCTGTAAACTTGGTAAACATTTTAAGGTGGGATTCAGACTTTCAACATAAATATTATAAATATTCTTCACTTAAATTATTGGAAGAACATTCAGTACCTAGCCTGGCTCATGAATTAACTGCTATGCGTGGTAACAAATCAATAGCTGGCTGTGTGACTGAGTCTGTGCCCCTTTTTCAGAGACAGAGCAGGAGAATGAAGCAGTGGATGATGGTGCCAAGTGGCTGCCGCAGAGCTGCAGTCCAGACGTGCTCCTGGAAAGGAGGAGCAGGAGGGGAGCAGTGACCAGGAGGGAAGGGAGGCTGCATCAGACCCGCTTGGCCTGGGCTGCACAAGCCGCCGCGGCTCTGCGTGGTGCCCTGCGTGGTGCCAGGCTCCACAGGCCCAGGCAGGGCGGTTCTCGCTGTCCGGACCGTAAGTGCTGTTACTGTGAGGGTGCCAGAGCCCTGGCACAGGCTGCCCAGGGAGGCTGTGGAGGCTCCTGCTCTGGAGATCTTCAAACCCGCCTGGTACCACCCTGTGCCCCTGCTCTGGGTGTCCCTGCTGGATCCCGGGACTGGACTAGAGGATCTCAGAGGTCCCTTCCGCCTCAACCACTCTGTGATCCTGTGTTGCTCATGCACACATTTAGGGACATGGTTTAGCAGGCATGGCATTGAGGAGCTTATGGTTGGACTTGATGACCTCAAAGGTCTTTTCCAACCAGAATGATTCTGTGATTCTAATTCAAAACCACTTTGCCTCTTGAAAGAAGATATATCATGTTCTGGAATAGGGTGCTGCAGGCATTTTTAAGATAGTCCTTTTTTTGTCTAATTGCGATAAACAGTTAACATTGAGGAATCAAAACTGTAGAGGAGCTTGTGTGTATGAGTAACTGCTCCAGAGTAACCTGTGGAGAGGGCCAACACTTGAATGAAATTGTGCAACCATTATCTGTTACTGAAAAAACAGAATCAAGTCACTTTAGCCCTATCTAACATCAGATAAGATTTACACATCCAAGCAAACAATTGGGCAAAGTGACTGGCTTCACTGAATAACGTTTTTCTTATGAGAGCTTAGCACTTAATATATCTGAGCTTTTAGCTTGCAATCCCTAACACTAGTCTTCTGGAAGTCTGTAGGGAA